TTTCGATAAATTCGTTCTAGTTGAGCAACGGCTCCTATATCTGCGTGTCGCATTAGAATTTGGATTGCTACAACATAGTCTTTGAATGTTTCCCGTGACCTCTGACGGCGGGCCCGGATTTCATCTTCTAACTTCTCAAAGTATCTTGCCGGTAGAAAGAACTTGAGAAAGTCAGTTTTGAAAGCGGTCCATAATTTCCACTGGCTGTTATTACTTCTATACCAATTTAATGCTTTATCCTTCAAAAGTTCTGGCATGGTACGTGGTATTGTGTTAATGTTTAATCCATGGGCTTCCACCAACTCCTCGACTCGTTCGATGAACATCAGCGGGTCTTTGCCTCCGTCATATTTGACAGACCATTTCCGGACTTGTTCTATAGTTTGTGTAACAGGTGGAATTGTTATTTGTACGTCGTTATTTAGTTCTTGTGTGATCGGTATTGTTTTTGTATGTTTACGCGCAAGGTCCCATAGCATTTCTCTCCGGACCATATCATAATCTTCTTTGTCGATGTATGCTGCTAGTCTTTTTCGTAATTCCTCTACGGATCCACTCGTTTCTAGTTGCATTTCGGACAAGTAGTGGATTAATTCATCTTTTCGTAAGTTGTACAACCAGGATTTACTCGGCGTGGTAGGTCTTCGAAGTTCTTGGTCGCCAATGTCGACCCTTGTTTTATGCTCTATAGACATAATTGATTTCCTTTCGATAATCGAGTTTAATATTTACCAATGTGGTTTTGTCCTGGTATTTTTGCGATAAATGTTACAGTCCCTCTGAAACTCAGTCCCTGCTCGGGCGCCAATTGTAACGACCTTTTTCCGTTCGTTACGTTTTGCTGGAGTAGCAAAGCGGTTGTCCAGGTTCGTTATAATAGAATTTATATCTTCGGGACTGAATTTTTTAGGAACCAAAATAAAAGTGTATTTTTATAATAATTTACCAATTTTATTTATTCTAGTATATATATAAAATTAAACAATGGTTATAGACATTTAAGAAAAAAATAGTAATTCTTGGTAACTCCGACGTTCGTTTCTGATGTTTGTGTCTTCAGGGTAAATATAGGCATGATTTTATGGAATCGTCGTACAGGCTTCCGTGGTTGACTCTGACGTTGAGGAGGTTCCTGACAGGACCGCGTTCTCTCCTGGGTTCCTTCTCTCCTTGCGGATGTTTTGTGTCAAGCAATTTGTCTGTGGGCTGAATGATCAAAATAATAATTAACGGAAAAGAGAAAATTAAATGAAATCAGTTTCCTACTTTGATCGAATTGACCAGTTAGACTGAAGTAGCCTGTAATCTAGTTTTGATCGAATTGACCAGTTTCCTATTTTGATCGAATTGACCAGTTAGACTGAAGTAGCCTGTAATCTAGTTTTGATCGAATTGACCAGTTTCCTATTTTTGATCGAATTGACCAATTAGACTGAAGTAGCCTGTAATCTAGTTTTGATCGAATTGACCAGTGAACTTGTAAATCGCTTGAGCTCCAAGAGACAAGTTCCTCGTTCTGTAAAATGCGCGTTCTTATATACCGAATTTACCGGAGCTTTTTGGTGTAGCGCACCGGTAACCTTCGTTGTTCGTGTTGACTTTTTGTGCTTTTCGTGTCTTTCTTGTGTATTTTGTGTATTGTCGTGTACTTCGTGTTATTTGCATTTTTGCGCACTTTTTTTCGCCTGCCTTTGTTTTCGCCGCGATTACGTTTTGATTACTTCGCGTTTCTATTTTTTTTTTTTTAAAACAAAATATAAAAACAAAATATAAAAATATATTTATAATTAAAATAAATATCAAAACAATATCTGTCAAAATATAAGTGAGTGATTTAATAAATGTGGAAATAGAATTTTAATGCTGCTGTGCAAAATCAGTGCCGGTGTAATTGAAATTGTAGTTTGTTTTCTCCGTCGGTAGTTTGTTTATACCTGGTTAATTAAAGAAAATATATTTTTAATCAATACAGTGTTTGTCCATAAAAGAAAAATAACCCAACCAAAGTATTTATAGCAGAAGTGGGTTTTTTTTGATGTGTTATATTTTACGTTTTTTTAAATAAATGTTTCCTTTCTCTATTTTTATGTTGTAAAAAAATGTAAACAGTGAGTGTTTTCAATGTTAGTAATTCATGTTTATTAATTAATATTGCAAAAGATCTATGTTTATTAAATAAATGTATTGTTTATTGCTTAGTAAATGTTCAATGTATGTGTTTAATCATAAGCTTTTTTATGATGTTTTAAATATTAGTCTTTTTCTTTACTTAATTTTCTTACACGTTGTGAAATTATTTATAAAAAACGCAGGCATTTTTAACTATATAAACATATATTTGCATATAAAAATATATATATGTGGAAAGAAAGTATATGAGGTGTTATTTTCAAAAGTTTTACTTCAATACACTATTTGTTTAAAAGCTAAAATTAATGTTTAATTTTAGCGCACAGACTGTCTTTCTTTACACACTTTTCAAAGAGAACAGAACAGGCTTTTTTTTTACAATAGAATTCAAGTTGCAAATTAACATGCGTACGAATAATTGAGTGCGAATGTCAAGAGCTGAAAGCTCAAATGAGTAAAAGAAATGACTCAAAACTGGTATTGATCTTGCTCTACATTATTCGTACACATGTTAAAATGCTTACAAACTCAACTTGCTAGATCTACCAAAGCACCGTGCTCCAACATCCCGCCCCCCTTGAAAGGATTTCTAGCTGGCAATAGTGCAAGTTTGTGGATTGGTCGACGGATGACTCCTTTGGATGTCTGCAGATCGACTACGCGAATATGCTTATCTGGACCGTTTACACAGTGAATGATTCTTCCCATCAGCCAACGTTGTGGGGGCATATTATCCTCGTGGATTATTACTAATGTTCCATTGCTGACGTTTGATTGTTCCTTTGTCCATTTGGTACGTGTCTGCAGCTCGTTTAGATAATCTCGAGCCCATCGGCGCCAGAAATGATGTTTTACAGCCTTCACACGGAGCCACTTATCTGCTAGTGGCAATTTATCATATTGAGATGTTGATTCCGGTAATGTCTTAAGTGGGCCGCCGATAAGAAAATGTGCTGGTGTCAATGCATCATAGTCGCTTGGATCGCAAGACAGCGGTGATATTGGTCTCGAATTAAGTATGGCCTCGATTTCAATCAGTACTGTTCCAAGTTCCTCAAACGTAAGACGAGTGTTTGCAAGGGTTGGGTTCAGATGGCCCTTAGCAATTTTCACAGCCGCCTCCCATAGCCCACCGAAGTGAGGCATCCTAGGCGGTATAAAATTGAAATTGATGAATTGGTTGGTGCAAAAAGTCTGCAAATTAGATTGGTTAGTTTTATTAAATAAAAAGTTTTTCAAGTCAGCCAGCTTGTTGCTAGCACCAACAAAATTTGTTGCATTATCGCAGTAGATATCTGATGGCAGTCCCCTTCTGCCGATCAATCTTTTTAGTGCTGCGATAAAGGCGTCCGTAGTTAAATCTGACACTGCCTCGATGTGTGCCGCCTTTGTTGATAAGCAGACGAAGATAGCTATATACGTTTTGAATGGGGCTTTTCCCCGAATACCAAGATACGTTAATACTGGCCCACAAAAATCTACTGCTGTACGAGCGAATGGCCTACTGGGAGTGACGCGTTCAATAGGAAGGTTACCCATTATTTGACCAAGCAATTTCGGTTTGTAACGCACGCAGTGAATGCAAGACCGAACCGTTCGACGCGCAATATCGCGAATGTTTAGTATCCAAAACTTAAGTCGAGTAAGGGCTATTAATGCCTTGGCTCCTGCATGATAGTTGCTCAGATGAAGATGCCGAACGTACAATTCCACAAAATAACAGCCTTTAGGCAGTAGAATCGGATGTCGCTGACCCCTGGCAATGTCACTAAGTGCGAGACGCCCTCCTACCTTTAAGAGTTGATAACCTGACGCTTCCTCCAAGAATGGGTTTAGGTGCTTGAGTGACCTTTCCACTGGGTTACCTCGCTGTAGGCCTTGTATATCCTGAGAAAAAAAATGATTTTGGATAATCCAAACAATACAATGCAGTGCTTTTTGTAATTGCATAGGTTGAATGAACTCTACGTCAGCTTTCTCTTTATACTTGGTTAACTGATGGAATCGATGTAGTTGCGCTACTATTCGTAGTATTTTAGTATAGGAGCCATACTTTGATATAACTATCAGCAAATAATTTTCTTTAGTTACCTGAGTAAACGCAAGTTTTCTTCTTTCCTTATTGACTACTTCCATATCTAAATTGCTATGTTCTGGTTGAGGCCAATGTTTTCTTTCACGTAATAAAAATTCTGGTCCAGTGAACCACGTAGACTCCGTTAGTTGGCGATTGGTACAACCACGAGAAACAATATCAGCTGGATTAATTTTTGTAGATATGTGCTGCCACTGACCAGCGCGAGTTATATCTTGGATTTCAGCCACACGGTTGCCTACAAAGGCAGACAGAGTCGAGGAATGTTGTTTCAACCAATGCAGAACTATTTGGGAATCCGTCCAAAAAAATGTTTCTCCTTCGAGGTGAGCGAGTGTCGGCTGAATTTTTTGTAATAACCTGGCAAGTAGTAACGCACCACATAACTCTAACTTAGGCAACGATTTCCTCTTTATCGGAGCTACGCGGGATTTTGCAGTAAATAGTTTGACTGTCACGTTACCTGACTTATCCTGAGAACGAAGATAAATGCAACATCCATATGCTCTTATTGAGGCATCACAAAATCCGTGGATGTCTACTTGTTGAGGGCCTATTGTTAGGCAAAATCGCGGTATCTTCATAGACGAAAGTGTATGGAGGTCTTGAACGAACGTTTCCCATGCAGAGTGAAGAGCTTGAGGTACTGACTCATCCCAATTCAAACGAAGCAGCCAGAGTTCTTGCATAATAATTTTTGAAACAAGTACAAGTGGAGCGAGTAACCCAAGAGGATCGAACAGTGATGAGGCCAGTGATAGAATAGAACGTTTTGTTACCGTACGACTAATCGGGACATTGAAAGAGAATAGAAACACATCATGAAGTTGATGCCATTTGATGCCCAATGCGCTAGTGATCGTATCCGAACCCAGATACAACTCTTCGTTGTAGTGTCGCTTACAAAATCCACATGATTAGAATGCCATTTATCCAATTCAAAACAACCTTCCTTCAGAATTGCAGTCAGTTGATGTTTAATTTCGACAAGTTCTTCACTGGAGTCGGCTCCGCCAATAAAATCATCCACAAAAAATGACGATTTAAGAAGTGGAGAGCCTAATGGGTATTTGTCTTTATATTTATCGGCCAAATATTGTAAATTTCTAGTTGATAAAAACGGCGCCGATGCTGTGCCATAAGTGACAGTATTGAGTTCGTAAGTACTAACAGGCTCCGCATCTGTGTCTCTCCAGAGGATATATTGAAACCTTCGATCTCCTTTGTCCACCAAAATTTGTCGGAACATCTTTACGATGTCGGCTGTCAGAGCATAACGGTATAAACGAAACTGAAGAAGGAGCAGATATAGTTCCGGCTGAATGGTAGGGCCTACCAGCAAAATGTCATTTAGCGCACGACTAGATGAAGTTGGACATGATGCGTCAAAAACTACTCTCAACTTTGTTGACGTGCTGGAAGGCTTCAGAACACAATGGTGAGGGATATAGTAATGCGGTTCGTTCAATTTGGGATCTTCGACGCGCGTCATATGCCCTAACTCCAGATATTGTTTCATGAACTCCCAGTAATCGCGTTTTAATGCAGGATTGGATGATAAGCGTCGTTCTATACCTAGAAGTCGACGCAAGGCAATGCTGTGTGTCAGACCGAGGGTGGTTGGTGGTTCCTTAAATGGTAATCGAACTACAATTCTTCCGTCCATAGCTTGTCGAACTGTTTCTTGATAGGAGGTCTCGCACTTCGCTTGTTCTGGTGACCACGATTTTTCAGCTGATTGTACTTCCTCTATCTTCCACATCATTTCTAGTTGTTTGGATACGGTATCATCTAGTGACATTAGGCAGTTTGCAACTGTGGGATTATCGAGAACACCTTGACATCTACCGGATACCACCCATCCAAACAATGTTTTTTGCAGGACTGGAAGATTCGCACCCAGTTTAATTTGACCGATGGATAAAATGTCAAAGAAGCTTTCTGTGCCTAGTAAGAGATCGATACGTTTGGATTTAAAAAATAGTTCATCTGCGAGTGAAGTATTCGGCGGGAGGTTCCATGATGATACATCAATTTCTGAGCTTGGCTGGTAAGCAATATGAGGAGTAACGCAGAAGTTGAGATCCAGCTCAAGATTTGAATGACGTGACTTTACGATAGTGGATGTTTGATGCTTTATATTAGCAAATGTGCTGCCTATACTTGCCACATGTACCGGTCGCTTGTATTTGACCAAATTAAGATTTTTTGAGAATTCCTCTGTTATAAAATTAACCTGCGAGCACGAATCGAGTAACGCTCTCCCCACTTGATAACCTCCAACTGAATCTTTCACCAAAACCAGCGCCGTAGCTAAAATTATTTGTTCATTTGAAGACATATCAAGATGAGAGTGACTGGCAACATTGTTATTGGGCAACAGAGTTTGCCTTGTGGTATTTAGTGAATCCGAAACCTGGTCATTGCTATTGGGTTGGTGCAAGAGTGTGTGATGTGACTTTGCGCATATTCGGCATTTGAATGATGATGTGCAATTGGCCACTCGATGCCGGGGCGATAGACAGTTAATGCAGAGTTTCAAACATTTCGCCTTCTCAAATCTTTGGTTAACTTCCATAGATTTAAAACGAGGGCATTTCTGCACTAAATGTTCATGACTTGAACAAAGTAAGCAGGACTGGGTGGAAGTAGCTGTAGCGAACGAATACTGTTTAGGACGATTGATGGGTTTGGCCTTAATATTGTTGGCTTTACGATGTACCGATAGATGGTTGTATGGCTTGTGATCGAGAGATTCTAGAAACTGACAATGTCTGTCAAGCAGTGCTGAACAGTCGTTCCAACTAGGCAGAGTGGTGAGAGATAGCGCCTCCTTCCATTTCCTACGTGTAGTTTCATCCACCCTCTGCATTACCAATGAAATGAGTATTGCCTCACATATTTGTTTTTCAGAGCCTAACGTGCAGAGTGAACCGTACAGTGCAGACACATTATCGATTAGGCTGCGAAGTTGGTGGCTAGACTGATCCGAAACCACTGGCAAATCAAATAAAGCTGTAATGTTTTCTAAGAAAATCAGCGTACTGTTGTCATACCGTGTTTTAAGTCGCTCTAAAGCCTTCGGATAATTTTCATTACAAATGGGGAATGCCTGCACTGTTTCTAATGCTTGGCCCGTTAGACAATTTCGTAAATGGTTAAATTTTTCGATGTTGGTTAGACACGCTTCTCGATCAATAATTTGGACGAAAGAATTGATGAAGTTCTTGTATTCAGAGTACTTACCACTGAACGTGGGTAATTTCAAATGTGGCAACTTCTTACTCACAGGAGGTATCAATGCTGTGTTGTCCATCATTGTAGAATTATTAGCTTCATCATTCAGCTGCGAAGATATGGAAATTTTTGTTGAAATATAAAGCTCCTCTAAGTCAGCTCTGCACGTATCGGTAGCATCTAGTTTCTCAATTGATGTCTGAAATGATAAGACCTGTTTAAAGTAAGAATCTAGGATACCTTGCCTACATTTTAATTCCGGCTGTGACAATAATTTTCCAGTCCCCTTTATGTGGGTTTCGATCAACCCTTTAATCCTACTGATACTCGCTTTGGTTGAGGCCCTTTGCTGTTTGAGTTCTGCCAATTCTGACATGGCCGTCTGGCTTGTGTTGGGTGTTGTCATCTCGATTTAATAAATTATTGATGAGTCAAAATAATTACACTCTCCGAAAGTCTAATAGATATTATATCACGACACGATACCGAAATAGTGCACAAATTCGAAAGTCACTAAGCACTTGCGCATAAATAGTTGTGCTACAACGATAATTAATCGGTTGACCGAATGATGCGAACGAAAGCGAAAGTTCTAAGCACATGCACTTAAATAATTGTGCGACAACGATTAATTAATCGGTTGACTGAATGATGCGAACGAAAGCGAAAGTTCTAAGCACATGCACTTAAATAATTGTGCGACAACGATTAATTAATCGGTTGACCGAATGATGCGAACGAAAGCGAAAGTTCTAAGCACATGCACTTAAACAATTGTGCGACAACGATTAATTAATCGGTTGACCGAATAATGTGAACGAAAGCGAAAGTTCTAAGCACATGCACTTAAATAATTGTGCGACAACGATTAATTAATCGGTTGACCGAATAATGTGAACGAAAGCGAAAGTTCTAAGCACATGCACTTAAATAATTGTGCGACAACGATTAATTAATCGGTTGACCGAATGATGCGAACGAAAGCGAAAGTTCTAAGCACATGCACTTAAATAATTGTGCATAGAGTAGCGGTTATTGTCCGCATATTACCGAACCTCGACACTCGAATAACGTTTATTTTTCCACGCGGTAACGTTTTATTTACCACGCGGTAACCACGACCATTAATTAACGTTAAGTTTAGAAATTCCGTTTGAAATTAGCAATTTTATTAATTTGCAAATATTATTTTTTAAATAATTTTTTATTATATATTTATAAACAAAATTAGAATTTATTTTTAACATTTAAATTAACACTTTTTGTCTAAAGTTAATCTTTGTTAATTATACACACCTTGAAGTGTTTTATTTTTTATGTCTGTTATTTGTTGTTTTAAGTAAGAACTTTTCTTATTAGAAAATTTGTTACACGGCACTTAAACGTTGATCTTTGATTAGTACTTATGCCCGTTTTTTAAAACGTTCGAATATTATTTTCATATTAGTGTCCTGTCACGGTCGCCAATGTTTAATCATAAGCTTTTTTATGATGTTTTAAATATTAGTCTTTTTCTTTACTTAATTTTCTTACACGTTGTGAAATTATTTATAAAAAACGCAGGCATTTTTAACTATATAAACATATATTTGCATATAAAAATATATATATGTGGAAAGAAAGTATATGAGGTGTTATTTTCAAAAGTTTTACTTCAATACACTATTTGTTTAAAAGCTAAAATTAATGTTTAATTTTAGCGCACAGACTGTCTTTCTTTACACACTTTTCAAAGAGAACAGAACAGGCTTTTTTTTTACAATAGAATTCAAGTTGCAAATTAACATGCGTACGAATAATTGAGTGCGAATGTCAAGAGCTGAAAGCTCAAATGAGTAAAAGAAATGACTCAAAACTGGTATTGATCTTGCTCTACATTATTCGTACACATGTTAAAATGCTTACAAACTCAACTTGCTAGATCTACCAAAGCACCGTGCTCCAACAGTATGTTTTAAATTAAAATATGTAAATACAATTCCAAATTCATTTATAAAATTCACTTTTGTTCATTGCTTCTTCTTTAGGTTTGTGCAGTTTACGGATCAATGCCCGCGGCTCATCAGGCTAGTGGATCACAGGTAATGTCTGTACAATTAAGTGACCAAATATATATTAATAAATTTCTTATTTTTCAGGTATTTTCGATGTAATATTTTGGAGGGTGAGTTGGTTACTTATATTGTCTGATATAGTGCTGGTGTTGATTTTATGCTGACGGTCTGACGTCAGATTTGTATATAAGTACATGTATGGTTGAAATTGTTTTATGGAATTTCAGCCTTTACATACCTCAGAATATTAAAAGCTTTATTTTCAATAAAAAAATCTATACATTTTTGTATTTTACTTGTTCGCGACATTGTTATACTTTTATTTTTCGTTGCTCAATTTGATACGGCTGCAAAAACAGCTGATTCATTTTGATGATGCAATTCTGCAACAGTGGTGTTCTCGCAGTCTTGCAGTTTTTGTATAGCATTCTTGCATTTCGTGCTCCTTGCAATGAGTTTACAAGAGAGGGTGAATACCCCTATTAACTGTTTAAGAAAGAAATCAAAAAATTCAAATCATTTATCAAAGGAAGAACTAGATAAAGCAAGAAATAAAATAATTCGTCAGCACCAAGAGTAGGAAGAAGACTACAAAACGCGAACATTACATATAATCAAATATATCCAGTGATTCTGGCTAAAGATCGATATTCAGAATTAGTAATATATCAAGCACATCAATCAACACTATATGGTGGGCAATCCGCGATGGAAGCACATATAAAACTACGATTTTGGATATAAGGGATGAGAAAAACCATAAAAAAGATATGCCACAAGTGTATAAGATGCAATCGATTCAATCAAAACTTCGCTAAACAAACAATGGGATATATACCCAGTTACAGAATAAATATATCCCATCCATTCGAACACACAGATATCGATTATGCAGGACCCATATACATGTGGTGTTCTAAAGATCGCGGTCAAAAATCTTTCAAAGGTTACATCGCAGTATTTGTAAGCATGTGCACGAAAGCATTCATAACTGCATTAAAAAGATTCTTTTCAAGGCGTGGGAAGAGTACACATTTATATTCAGATAATGGCACTAATTTTATTGGCGCATTAAAAAAATTAGATAAAGAGTTTGGAAATGCGATCAAAAATAACACATCGATGGTACCAATTCTTGCAGCAGAAAAAATTGAATGGCATTTTATTCCGCCGTCAAGTCCGCATTTTGGCGGTGTATGGGAAGCTACTGTAAAATTCATAAAATATAATTTGAAGCGCGTAATAGGTGAAACAAAACTAACATTTGAAGAGATGACTACACTTCTAAATCAAATTGAAGCAGTACTCAATTCAGGACCACTCTGCTATATAAGTAGCGATATTGACAGTATTGATGTTCTAACACCTGGACATTTCTTAATAGGCCGTCCAATATTAGACGAACCAAGTCAAATAGTGAAGTGAAGTCAAATATTATATAAGTTTAATAGACCGTTGGAAAGTTCTACAAAAAATTAAAACAGATTTTTGGAAAAAATGGAAAAAGGAATATGTCACGTCTCTACAGAAACGAAACAAATGGTTTAGAGAGAAATCGAACTTAGCAGAGGGGCAAGTAGTAATCATTAAAGACGAAAACACCACGCCTATTAGATGGCCATTAGAAAAAATTACAGAAGTATTTAAAGGCAATGATGGAAAGGTACGGGTAGTAGAGCTTAACCCATTAAGTACCAGGCAAGTTCAAACTTGAAATTTTGTGGTGAAATTTTCAGAAAGGTCTTATTTTACGTTCAAAATATTCCCAGCAAAATTAATTTTTTTTTTGAAAAGTAGTTTTCCGGAAAAGTGCCGTATGGTCAACCACACGCTGGGCCCCAGAGCATATTTTTCGCTTTTCGATAGTACAAAAATTTTTATATGTGTTTTGTTCCCAAATATCGTATTTAGTTACTTTTGTGATTAAGTAACTATCATTGTAAGTTGTATAAAGTACAAGTAAGTATAAAATTCAATGTTTTACGCTTTTCAAATATTTATTAAACAAAAAATATATTTGAATTATTACATTTGAATTATAGTATACGAAATAAATAAGGTTACTTGCGTCATTGTCTGCGATCAATGTAATATTATTTGTTTTCATAGAAAATTTTAAAGCAATTTTTTAAATGACCATTTAAATGGCACTTTTCATATATAAAAACTGTGGCTTTGGTAAATTTCCCGGAAGATAAACATCTTCTGCAGCACTGTGACTTTTGTTTTTCAAATCCTCGTAAGCGGTATGAATGGAGTTGATAAAATCGAAGCTCCTGGAAGAAATTGACAAACTTCCGAAACACAATAGTGTCTACAGCTTCATCACCAGTGTTAACAGAGACGGATGGCTCTCATTAACATGCTGCAATGGTGAAACGAGGAACTGGCTGACCACCTGTGTCCCAAAACTCCAACCATTCCCGGATACTATTCTCAAAGTGTTTCAGGGCGGAGAGATGCCCAAAACCTATGTGTGCATCACATTTATTCCCCCCTCTGCTGTGTTACCACCAAAAATTCTGAGGTCCCGCTTGAGGAAACAAAATGGTGGCACTTGCACATCATCGTGGAGAATTCTCAGGACTAAGAAAGATAAGAATGGTAAGGAAACCATTACGATCTCGGTGGACGAGAAATCCAAAAATTGGATAGTCGGTCAGGCAAGGAAGCTTTATCTGAACTTCTCACATATTTAAGTACGTGTGAAGGGAGAGCAAACTGGACTCAAGAAACTGACGACTAAAAGGCCATTTAAGACAGAGAAACCCAGTGACGTCAAGCAACAGCTGCCTCCATCCAAAAGGCCGCTTTCAGGTGATGGACCCAGTACCTCAAAAGCACAGGCAGATAAGCCAAGTGAGACGGTAAAGGTTACACGCGACAGCACTCGCACTGAAGTCGGACCCAGCACCTCAAAACAGCAAGGTGGCACACCGGTATCTAGTATAAAGGACCAGAAGCAAGGGTCAAAGAAACCAGCTTCAAGATCCCCTCGACACCCACTCATGGGACAAAATTGCCCAAGTGGATGCGGAACGGCAAGGGACGATACTAATAAAATGATGAGGTGCCTTCAACACGCCAAAGCTGCTACGGCGTTGTTGACACAGCGACTTCTATTTGAAAAGATTGACCTAGCCTTTATCCAGGAGCCACCTGTATATGAGAACCAGATAAAGGGAATAAAAGGTAAGCTACTGTCCATGCCAGCCATGGTCGACCTCGTGCTTGTATTGTGGTAAGGGATGACATTAATGCTTTTATTATTCCACAGCACACCAAGGACAGAGCTCATTGTCTGCTCATCTTACCTACCTGGAGACTTCCAAAACCTGGACTTCCTATCACTGAAAGGACTAGTAGACTACAGTGTTAAAAGCAAGAGGCAACTCATCGTTGGAAGTGACGCTAATGCACACCACCCGATCTGGGGCAGCACAGACATCAATAAAAGAGGTGAATGTCTATTTGAATTTATAACTGGTAACAACCTATATATTTTGAATACGGGCAATAACCCCACTTTTATAAACAGAATCAGGGAAAAGGTATTAGACATCACCCTAGCTACACAATTTATAAAACATTTTATCAAAAACTGGAATGTTTCAGCAGAAACATCCATGTCTGATCATAGTCAGATTAGATTTGATATTGATCTAAATATGAAAGTAAGGGAATCGTATAGGGTGCCTAGGGCCACAGAGTGGTATCTATATACCGACGAACTCAAAGCCAACCTAGGCAACAATAAACATACGATAAACAACATTCATGACTTAGAAATAGCTGATGCTGACTTAAGCACAACTATTATAAATGCCTACCACGGGGCCTGTCCGGTGAAAAATAAGACCGGCAACAGAAGTGCAGCATAGTGGAATAAAACGTTAGCCAAGCTAAGAGTCAAATCCCGGAGACTCTTCAAATAGGCAAAAACCAACGGTGAATGGGACAATTATAAAAATGCCCTCACCCCCTACAATAAAGAAATTAGAAGGGCAAAAAGAGAATCATGGAGAGGCTTTTGCTCAGAGATTCAAAACTTAAGCAGTAACGCAAAAATCCACAGGGTCATCTCGAAAAGCCCCACTAATCCCATTGGGCTTCTGAAATGACCTGATGGTCTTTGTACCAATGACTGCAAAGAGTCACTTATACTTTTAACAGAAGAACACTTTCCGGGATCTACAATTTACGACCAATCAAACTCCCAGCTTAGTTCCCTGGTGGCCAAAAGGCCCAGAAACAATGACTGGAAGACTGCTCGTAAAATCTTCACTGAAGATAAAATTAAATGGGCGGTCAACTCATTTTCTCCTTTCAAAACTAGTGGAGTAGACGGAATATTTCCAGCACTCCTACATAAGGGACTAACTCACCTTATGTCCTACCTCATTAATATCTTTAGAGCTGGGCTGGCGATGGGAATCATTCCTACTAACTGGAGGGAAGCAATTGTCAAATATATACCTAAAGGAGGAGGTAAACCTAGCGAACTTCCTAAATCCCATAGGCCTACAAGTTTGACATTTCTTCTAAAAACTATGGAGAAGATAGTGGAAAGGCGTATAAGGGAAGAGTATTTATCTTTAAATCCAATCCACGCCAACCAGTACCCCTACCAACAAAATAAATCCACCACATATGCATTACTCAGTCTTTTTAATAAAATACAGGAGTCTGTAGATTGTAAAGAATTTGCGGTGGGATGCTTTCTTGATATTGAGAGAGCGTTTGACAATATTGATCACTCACATATCGAAAGATGCCTTTATGACAGAGGAGTAGATGATACGACACGCACATGGATAAGCAATGTACTAAGAAATAGAATGGTTAAATCCACTCTCGGCAATGTCGAAATAAAAACACATACTGCAAGAGGATGCCCACAAGGGGGTGTATTATCCCCACTCCTGTGGTCAATTGCAGTGGACGATCTCTTTCATCGACTCAGTGCCAAACATTTCAAGGCACAAGGATATGCTGACGATATAGTCATACTAGTCAGGGGTAAATATGAAGACATGATTTTATATCGACTCCAGCAAGCCCTGAACATCGTGATTAGATTAGAAGTTCACGTGAACTTCTCATGTAGACAACGTTATACGAAGAGCCAGAGAGGCATTATGGACCAGAGAAAACCTTATTGGTATGCACTGGGGCCTTAATCCAAAACTCAGCCTTTGGATCTACACATCTATTGCGAGACCAATTGATACTTATAGGTCAGCTATCTGGTACAAAAAAGCACAACAGAAGACTGTGATAGATAAACTTCGTAAGCTGCAGAGATTAGCCTGCAGCCTAATCAGGCTAATGACAAGTGGAGCGATGAGAACTACCCCGACAGCAGCCCTAGAGGTTGCATTGGGGCTTTCCCACTTCACCTACTAGTCAAAAATGAAGCAATGACTTTTATGGCCAAGCTACAGTTGACTACCAATCAATCAACAAGACTAGTCAATAACTCCCTGTTAGGTGGGGAAATGCAAAGAGAGGAAGGACTAAATATCACCATATCTGACATTTGCTTACCTAAAGTCAACTTTCACCAAAAGTTCCTAATACTAATACCAGACAGAAATGAATGGGAACGGAACATACCTCCATTCGCTGGAGACTACCATCTGTGGTAGTCTCGGATGGCTCCAAAACGATGGAAGGAGTGGGGTCGGGAGTATATGGAATAAGACCTAAAGAAGAAATATTTGCGAGTATAAGTAAAGAAAACTCAGTTTTTCAGGTTGAAGTACACGCAATTGAACTATGTCTCAGGATATATAGTAATGATCAATTTTTGAAGTAAAAATAAAATTGATCTTACAGTGATGATTCTTTTTTTTTAAAAATAATTTAAAAAAAATAAATAAAAAAAATCACTGACTTCCAAACACGCTTATAAAAATTATAACAAAAAAAAAAACCTGCAATATGAGAAATGTCATTTTAATTGATCGCCAAAAGTTGCAATGAGTAATAAGAGAAGCTGAGAATGCAGCGTAAACATTACAAGGTAAGAGAATCAATAACAAAATAATGGAAAGCTTTCGTGAGTCTCGAAGTAGAAAACATTAATTAAGTGCATTGACCGAGAAATGGCGGATTAAAAAGTATGAGTTAAGCAGTTATAAAAAAAGTAAATATAAGGAGCATTCGGAGGATTTTCTGGCTTCTTGGGGGAGTTTATTTTGAACGGAACGGGCAGAACGTATGACAGAGTTTAACTTCAGTGATCCGCAAAGAAATACACAAGAAATAAAAAAAAAGATATATATGAAACTCTTATCGGAAGTGGCGTGAAGATTTTAATATATAAATTTATACTCTGGAACAGTGTTTTATACCATAATAACTATCTGTAATAATTAAAATTTGTTTTCATATACAAATTTAATTATTTTTATATATATATA